AAAGTACACCATATATACAGTACACACTGCAACTCACATACACACTGTTATCACAGTACACACTGCACATCACGCTACCACTGCCATCACAGCACCACTGTTATCACAGCTACACGTATATCACAGCTCACACGTACACACAGTACACATGTATATCACGCTACACACTGTAAAACTACCCCTGTAATACAGCTACAAATTATTCACAGTACACACTGTAATCACGCTACCACTGTACATCCCGCTACACCTGTATATCACGTAACCTTATATCACAGCTACACACTGTACTCACGCTACACACTGTATATCCGTACACCTGTACTCCAGCTACACACTGTATTAAGCTACCACTGATATCCGCGAACACTGTAAAACACAGCTACAACTGTACATCACAGCAACCTGTTTCAAGCTACCCTGTATTCACAGCTACACACTGTACTCACAGCTACACACGTATACACAGCACACACTGTATATCACGCGAAAATGTTTCACATACACACTGTATTCACGCTACAATAACATCCCGCTAACACTGTAATCACAGCTACCACTGTACTCACAGTCACTGTATATCACGCTAACCCCTGTTGTCACAGCTCACGTATATCACAGTCACACTGTTGTCACAGCTCACATGTTATCACGCTACACTGTATATCCGTACACACTGAGTCCGTACACATGTATATCACAGCTACACCTGTATGTCCAGCGAACCCCTGTATATCACAGCTACACACGTATACAAGTACAATGTTATCCAGCTACACCACTGTTATCCAGCTACACACTGTATATCCAGCTACACATGTATTCACAGCCCACCCCACTGTTATGCGCTACACACTGTATGTCACAGCGAACCCCTGTATATACAGTACACACTGTATACACGCTACACCCTGTACACACGCTACACACTGTAAATTTTACAGCAACCTGTATATCAAGTACACATGTATATACAGCTACACTGTATGTCACAGCGAACACTGTTTTCACAGCTAACAAGATATCACAGCTCACCGTTTTCCGCTAACACGATGTCACGCACAACTGTATATCACAGCTAACACTGTATATCACGCTACCATGTACTCACAGCTACACACTTACATACAGCACACATGTATTCAAGACACCTGTTTTCACAGCTACACATGATGTCACAGCGACACACGTTATCACAGGTACACCTGTATCACAGCTCACATGTACACACGCCACACTTAATCACAGCTACACATGTTTTTACGCTACACACTGTTTTACAGTACACACGTATGTCCAGCGACCCTGTAATCACAGCTCCACTGATTCACAGCTACACACTGTAATCACAGTACACACTGTTATCACGCTCACACGTTTTGTCACAGCGACACAGTATATACGTCACACTGTATACACGCTAAAAACCGTAAAAACGCTACCCTGTATTCAAGCACAATGTTATCACGTACACCGGGTTTTCAAGCTAACACTGTCTCACGCTCACACTGTATACCAAACTACCATGTAAATTTTCCGCTCCATGTATTCACGCTACCCCTGTTATCACAGCACACACTGTATATCCCGCTACACACTGATATCAAGTACCACTGTATTTCCAGCTACACACTTACATCACGTCACACTGTATATCACAGTACACACTGGACATCACCACCACTGTATATACAGTACCACGATATCCGCGACACATGTTTAAAACACAGCACAACTGTTATCACATACACACGTTTTTACAGCCCATGACATCACCTTCACACTGTATATCCGAAACCCCCTGTTATCAAGCTACACATGTACATCACAGCAACACTGTTTTCACGTACACACGTATATCACAGCTACCCTGTACATCACGCTAAAAATGTTTTTCCCCTTCCCTGTTTATCACGCCACACTGTACTTCACACACCTGTATTCACAGCACACACTGTTATAAGTCCCTGTACATCACGCTACCCTGTACATCACAGCTACCATGTATATCACGTACACACTGTATATCACAGCTACACACTGTACTTCCCGCACACCCGTAATACGTAACACTGTTTCTCACCTCCCCACTGTAATCACAGTAACACTGATACACACGACCCTGTAATCACACACACTGTAATCCAGTACCATGTTATCACAGTACAATGTTTCACAGCTAACACGCATCACAGCTACAATGTTATCCAGTAACCGTTTTCACGCGACCACTGTATATCACGCTACACACTGTATATCACGCTCCCCTTACACACAGTAAACCTGTATATACATCCCTGTACATCCCCCACACACTGATATCAAGCTCACATGTATGCCGCTACACCTGTATATCAAGTACACACTGTATGTCAAGCTCAACTGATACACAGTTAAAACTGTATATCACAGTAACACTGTTGTCACAGTACACATGATATCCGCTAACCTGTTTGTCCAGCGACACACTGTAATTTACAGCTACACTGTATTCACGTACACCTGTATATCCAGCTACACATGTATATCACAGCTCCCATGTATATCCAAAACAGTTATCCAGTACACCCTGTAATCGCGGTAAAAACCCGTTGTCACAGCGATACACTGTATATCACAGCTACACACTGTATTACAGCTACCACGACATCAAGCTACCATGTATTTCACAGCTACACCTGTATACACGACACATGTTATCACAGCTAACCCCCTGTATGTCCAGCGACCACTGTATATCACAGCTACACACTGTTTTCACGCTCACATGTATTCACACTACACCCTGTATGTACAGCGACACTGATTCCAAATACACAGTAATCACAGTAACACTGTACATCACGCTCAACTGTACATCACAGCTACACCGTTATCCGCTACACACTGTATTCACGCTCCAATGTATGTCCAGCGACCACTGTATATCACAGGTACACATGTATATCACAGCTCCAAAAGTCATCCGACACCTGTACATCACAGGTACACACTGTATATCACAGCTACACACTGTTTCACAGCTACAACTGTTTGTCACAGCGCACTGTATTCACAGACACCTGTATTCACAGCTACCACTGTACATCCAGCTACACCTGTATTCACGCACACCTGTATGTCACAGCGCCCCTGTTTTTTCAAGTACACACTGTTATCAGTACACACTGTACTCACAGCTACACATGTATACACAGTCCACTGTATTCACAGCTCCACTTTTTATCACGCTACACAGTACACACAGCTTACACATGTTATCCAGCTACACACGTATATACAGCTACACACTGTATATCAAGCTACCATGTATAACACAGCTACACACTGTAATCCAGCTCAACTGTATTCAAGCTCACACTGTAAATTTTACAGCTACACATGTAACACGTCAACCCCGTTACACAGCCCCACTGTACATCACAGCTACACACTGTATTCACAGTAAAAATGTATTAAAAGCGAACACTGGAATCACAGCTACACACGTATATCACGCTCACATGTATTCCAGCTACACACTGTCTCACAGCTACACCCTTTTTTTTCCGCACCATGTATATCACAGACACACTGACATCACAGCCACATGTATTCACGCTAACACTGTATATCACAGCTACACATGTTCTTTCCCGCTACACCTGTATACACGCTACACACTGGATATCACAGCTAAACTGTAATCACAGCTAACATGTTAACAGCTCAATGTATTCACGTACCACTGGATTCACGCACACACTGTACATCCGCTACCACT